CATGAAATCGCAATGGCACTCTTAGAGTCACAGTAGATGTGGATCTTATTGTATGTAAAGTCGTAGTCTTTCAGCTAATTCTGCATCCAAACCACTTGTGAACAACAACTTACAACTGCAACGTATTAAGCTTCCGCTATTGATGTTGACATACATTTTTGTTTCTTGGACGTCCAACTTGTATATTGTCGCATGTGCTCTTTGTATTGAGTTTCCAACCTGCATGATCAGTGTCAGAATAAATAGTCAATTTGTAGCCAGTGTCCTTTGGATACCATAAACCAAGATCAGAAGTGCCTTTCAAATATCTTAAAATATGTTTACTACAACAAGATGTGATTCTTTAGGATTAGCTTGAAAATGCGCACAAAAACAAGTAAAAAACATAATATCAGATCTACTAGCCGTCAAATAAAGTAAACAACCAATTATCCCTTTGTAAGTTTTAAAATCACCTACTTTCCTGTTAGGCTCAGAGTCAATCTTAAACCCAATGCCATCGGAATTCTCATAGGAGTGCAATTCTCCATTTTAAACATTTTCAATAGTTCATTAATATATTTTGACTGATTGATTAAAAATCCCAATTGAAAGTTGTTTTACTTGTAGACCTAAAAAAAAATTCATTTCTCCCATCATGCCCATTTCAAGTCTAGACGCCATAAGGTCAGAAAAATTCATCCAATACTGATGGTTCATTAATCCAAAAATTATCTCATCAACACAAATTTAAATAAGAATAATATCATCACCTCGATTTTTGATAAACAAAGTTGTATTGATTTTACCTTTGACGAAATCGACTCTTACAAGAGAATCAAACGAAACATCATACCAGGATCTCGGAGCTTGCTTCAAACTGTAAAGTGCTTTGTCAAGAATATAAACATGATTTGTTTTAGATTCATCGACAAAACCTTCAGAAGAAGACACTGTACACCTCTTTTTTCAGAATTCCATTTAGGAATGCAGTCTTCACATCCATTTGAAAAACTTTAAAATTCTTGTGAGTTGCATATGCTAAGAAGATTCAGATAGCTTCAGTGCAAACGTCTCATCATAATCTACTCCTTCCTTTTGTTTGTAGCCTTTCGCAACTAACCTCCCCTTATTTCGCACCACAACTCCGTCTTTATCCTTTTTGTTTTTGAACATATACTTCATTCCGATTATGGATTTATCCTTAGAAAGAGGCATCAATCTCCATACTTTAAGTCTTTCAAACTGATTTAGCTCATCTTGCATTGTTAAATCCAGTCATAATTAGGAAGTGCCTTGGATACTCCCGTTGATTCTATTTTTCTTAGAAATGTAGCAAAAAGACATTCGTTTGCTAATCCAGATCTTGTCCTTACAGCAAACATAGGGTCTTCTATGACTTGATGTAAAGGATGATCCTTTATCCACTTAAGACTATGGGGAAGTGGCTGATATGACAATTGATCATTTCATGGATCAATGTATGTACTGGGAGAATTATTTTTAAGAGATTCAAGTGACGATTCAAATTCAGAGTTTTGAATAGATGGATATACATCTGAAGACACCATCTCGGGTACAGTATCAGATTAAACATTTGGAGTGTATGTACTCGAATCAACAATAGGAACCTCCACTTGAATTTGAGATTCATCACTTGATGGTGTTGTCTCTGAATTTTCACTCTGGGATGTCTCAGTGACAGGCGTTGCATTTGAACCGTCAGATACAAATGATGAAGAAATACCAGAAATAGAAACAACAGTCGGTTCGTCTACATTTGCAATTGTATCATTGTTTGAAACATAATTAGATTTGTAAGTTCGAAAGTACTAATCATAAAAAATTTCTAATAATAATTCTAAATAAAAAATGTGAGCTTTTGACATTGAAGCAACATCTGTTTTGGTACAGATCCTGAACTAATATGTTCAGAACCTAATACATCAGATAATACATGTTTTGAATTGACTTATTCAGAAGCTATATCTGCTAACTCATCAAAAGTTACATTGACACTCATTCACAATCTTCGTCCTTTTGTTGTAAACTTTGTATGCTGTTGACTCCTTCAAGTAACCAATAAAAATAGCTTCATCAGCTTTGGATTTGAATTTTTCAAGATCATCTTTGTCGTTAAGTATAAAGCACCTACAACCAAAAGCATAAAAGATTTTGACATTAGGTATTCGTTTATTATTGATCTCATAAGGAGTTTTACCAAAACGCTTAATGATAATAGATCTATTCTGAGTGAAGCACGCAGTTGCTACAGCTTCGGCCTACAAGAATAAAGAAAGTTTTGATTGTGCAAGCATTGAACGAGCAACTTTTACCAGTGTTTGATTTCTTCTTTCAACAACACCGTTCTATTGTGGTATCCTATCAGCTGAGAATGTGAGAGAGGTTCCACCCGATTCAAAAAAGGAATCTAACACTTTATTTTTAAATTCAGTATCAATATCAGTTTTAATTGACTAAACTCGTAACTATAGGTTCAGTTATGCACCTTTGATGAATGAAATTATCAATTTTGTAGCTTCATCCTTTGTTCTCAAGAATTGTACCCAAGTGTATTGGGAATAGTCATCAACCATCACTAATGTGTACATCTTCCCATTAATGCTTTGAACACGCATTGGGCCATACAAATCCATGTGAATAAGCTGTAAAGGTCGCTTTGTATTATGTTCAACTTTTGATTAGTGAAATGATCTCTTTATCTTTCCCATCTCGCATGTTTCACACATATGTTCTTTCTCATACCTTAAATTTAGTAAGCATTTGATTAACCCGCCTTTTACCAACTTATTTATACTATCAAAGTTTCGATGGAAAAGTCGTCTATGCCACAACCAGCTTTGTTGCATAGAGGTTTTTGACATTAGACACACAACAATTGGAAGTCTTCAAATTTGACAAATCAATCGTGTAAATATTTGAACATCTTGTCCCAAACAAGATCTCTTTACCATCTTCAGTCCTCACACTACAATGATTAGCTTTGAAATTCACCTTTAAATCTTTATTACAGAACTGTGCAATGCTAAAAAGATTATGCCTAAGTCCCTCAGTAGATAGATAGATAGATAGATAGATAGATAGACAAACAGACAGACAGAGAGATAGACAGAGAGATAGATAGACAGATAGACAGACAGACAGACAGACAGACAGATAGATAGATAGATAGATAGAGAGACAGATAGAGAGACAGATAGATAGACAGATAGATAGAGAGATAGATAAACATATAGATAGACAGATAGACAGATAGATAGATATAGATAGATAGATAGATAGATAGATAGATAGATAGATAGATAGATAGATAGATAGATAGATAGATAGATAGATAGATAGATAGATAGACAGATAGAGAGACAGATAGAGAGACAGATAGAGAGACAGATAGATAGACAGATAGATAGACAGATAGATAGAGAGATAGATAGACATATAAAGAGACAGATAGAGAGACAGATAGACAGATAGACAGATAGATAAATAGATAGATAAAGAGAGATGTGGTTTCAATTGCAAACTCATTCATTTGTACCAACTTTATAAGACAAATAGATAGACAGATAGAGAGACAGATAGAGAGACAGATATATAGAGAGACAGGTATATAGAGAGACAAATAGATAGGGAGAGAGATAGACATATAGAGAGATAGAGAGATAGAGAGAGATAGATAGATTGAGAGATAGGGAGAGAGAAAGATGTGGTTTCAATTGCAAACTCATTCATTTGTACCAACTTTATAAGCCATTTTTAACCGTAGACTTCGTTGATCAATGACCGAGATCATTTTTTCATTTACTTTTTATTGTTAAAAAACATTTAACACGTTTATTAAATGAAATGACGTCATAAGTCAAAAAGGACTTCTAAAAATTCCTAATAAACTCTTAAAAGAACTTTTCATTATCTAATATGTTTCCTAAAATTAAATTCTAAAATTCGATAATCGAGATGATATTTTTCTAACGGTTTTGTCCATCAAACATGATATTTTTGATTTTTAGGAGTCGACATGCAAATTTAATTTGATTGGTTCGGTATTGTTATAAATGACCCATCTATCTTTACTATAGTCATTGAGAGAATATTAGAACAAAACAAATTTGAGTTTCTCTTTTCTCTCACACCTAGGCATGGCAACGGGGCGGGGATGGGGCGGGTTTTGTAATCCCCGGCCCCGGCCCCGGTTCCGGTTTGTAATACCGTCCCCCGGCCCCGGTCCCCGGCGGGTACGGGGATTATCATCTCGTCCCCGGTCAAATTCTAGCAATCCCCGGTCAAAACCCGGTAAACCCCGGTCAATCTCCGGTCAAAACCCGGTAAAAAGTATGCTTTAGTTTGATTATACCGGGGATCCCCGGCCCCGACTCCGGCCCCGTTTTGAGTAACATTCCTCGTCCCCGGCCCCGTCCCCGCTTTGAGTCTATCGGGGATCCCCGACCCCGGCCCCGGGACCCGTTTTAGCGGGGAATCCCCGTCCCCGTTCGGGTCGGGTGAACCGGGTTCCCCACCGGGTCGGGGAAAATCACCATCCCTACTCACACCTGTGTACACGTTAGGATTAATCACAATGTGATGGAATATTGCCATCCCATTTTGTTTTCTAAAATCTACTTGAAATGGTTTTGTGAAACCAGCTATAAAAATTAACATCGATACAATTAATGTTAGAGATGCTACTTTTAGTTGGAAGAAGAGAAGCAAAAAATTTGTTCAAATCATAGTGAAAAATATGTTCTACATAAAGTTAAGAAACTGATTACTGTACCATAGATTATATTATAAAGAAAATCCTTTTTCCATCTACCATCACACCTCCACTTCCGAGAACCTCAAGTACCCCGCCATCCCCAAACCTCTCTCCCCCACCCTCTTTAGGTAGCAGAAATATTAGTGGTCCAACTTACATTGTCACGTGTAACGTATACTGTAGATTCATTTCCTCTTTATAAGTAGAAGAGAGAGAGAGAGAGAGAGAGAGAGAGAGAGAGAAAGGCGAGAGAGAGAGAGAGAGAGAGAAAGAAAGAGAGAGGGATAGAGAGGACGCACACCCACATCAACCAGATATCGCCATTATTCACCGTAAAGATAATCGGTAGAGAGAGAGAGTTTATGTTTTGATCGTTTCAGTGTTCTTGTTCTTGTTCATCTACTTTAAACCTTTGTATTCCTTTCTCTCACTAATTGAGCTTTCAATCCACTTTTGAGGCTTATCCCAGGAAACCCCACCAATATAAATTAAAAAGAAATACACTTTTTCCCTCTGGTCATCTTCCACTTCATTCAGAGTTCGTCAACTTCTGAGTTTAAAAAGAAGAGGAAAGATCAAGATCAAGATCAAGATTAGGGTTCATTGGCATATGAACAAATGGCGTTAGACACAGTAATTTACCCACAAGATCAATTTGGTGTTTGGGGCTACGATTATTTAATACAAGAAGAAAAAAGTTTATGTGGGTTTCTGGAAAGTAACAACCTTTTTCCAAATCATGAACAAGCAGCCAGTGTCCATGCAAATAATTGGGATTACTGTTCATCTTCTTCGGTGATGCAGAATCACAACAGTTGTTATGATATGAAGGATCACTGGGGCACTATTTCTTCTCCGGATGATTGCACCGGTGGTGGCAGTGGCGGTGGTGGTGGAGGTGACCAGATGATTTCAAGTGAACTAGAGTCGCCCCACTGCAACATGATGATGGAATCACATGTAGGTGCAGCCCTGACCACCAATACGGTGGCCTCTGCCGGGAGGAGAAAGCGCAGGCGCACCAAGAGTGGCAAGAACAAAGAAGAACTGGAGAATCAAAGGATGACTCATATCACGGTGGAGCGCAACCGCAGGAAACAGATGAATGAGTATCTCGCTGTTATCCGATCATTGATGCCACCTTCATATGTTCAAAGGGTAAAACCATTACTTTTTTCTTCTGCATTCCTTTATCTTTTTTGAATCTTCTTCCCTTGATGACAAACAAAACCAATAATACTTAAAACCAACGATCGATATATCTAAAGATTTGATCATGGTCTTAAAACCATTTCACCTCATTGGGATCACCCCTAATTTTCTTGGTAGTCTTCTACATTAATTTGGTTAGAATTTTTTTTAAATAAAATAATTGTTTTCAAATTCTTTTTCTGGTAAAATTGTTCTGTGTTTCACATGTGCATCTTATCTTGGTTTCTATTTCATTTTCACTTTGGTTTTTAAAGGACAAGAAATGTTACATCATAGAAACTTTTGAAATTAATTAACAGAATATTGATGTTACTTTAAAATCCAGAGCAGACAGAGTCACATCACCGGTAAAATAATTGTCATCTACATTTTATTTTTGGCATAGTCTGTACCTCAAATTTATATGTATTAAAATCAGCCAAATCATGCTATAATAATAAACATGGTTTTTTTTTATCATCTTTAAAGATAATATGATTATTTTCTTATATTCCAACTAATTTATAGTAACAACTTATTATTTTTGTAAATATAAAAATTGCAATATTATCTAACAATTTATTACAATAATGTTTTTAACAAGAAATATATTTTTAATTTTATAAATTTAAAAAAAAACTTGGTAAAAGGGAATTATTATGACTTTATTAACGCAAGATTTACTGTTTGGGCATTATTTACCATGTGCTTGTTTGATTGTACATTTGCAACAGACTGTTTTATTTTACATAAGATTTTAGATATTTAAGAAAATGCATATATTTTTAAACTTTCTGTCAAATAAAAAGTTGCAACTATCTGCAAGTCATACTACAGTCTTAGATTTGCTCAAATCATATTTGATTATTAAATGTCAAACATATGATATCATTCAATTGTTATGGAAGTTATGTTACAATAAATTTACAAAAAAATCAATTGATTAATTTTCAGGGTGATCAAGCATCAATAATTGGAGGAGCCATAAATTTTGTGAAGGAGCTAGAGCAACAACTACAAACCCTAGAGGTACAAAAGAGAGCCATGCATCAGCAGCCAAACAGCGTCAATGGCTACTCTCCTCCGCCATTGCCATTTGGTGAATTCTTCACATTTCCACAATACTCTATGAAATCGGCTAACGAAGTTAGTGGCAATGGAGGTGGTTCTGTCGCGGTGGCCGACAACCGGCCACTGGCTATGGCAGAGATCGAAGTAACAATGGTGGAGAGCCATGCAAACCTCAAAATACTGTCAAAGAAACGATATCGACAGCTCTTGAAAATTGTAGCTGGTCTACAGTGTTTGTGGCTCACTATTCTCCACCTCAATGTTACCACCGTTGATCAAATGGTACTCTACAGTCTCAGTGTGAAGGTTGGTTTTGACTCTTCCCATTAATATTATTTTAATGTACATTATCTTAAACTACAATAAAATGGTTAGCATTTACTTTTAATTCTTTAACACAATTATTTAATTCTTCAAAACGACTGGAAAATCATGATCGAAACCCAAAAAACAAAACAAAACAAAGCAAAATCTTTTCTTGACATGGATCGATCGTGTTTAACTTGGTCGATCCAAGAAATAATACTCTAGTTTTATGATGAATTTGATATGACATTGTTTGATTATCTCTTTAGTTAATATATTGTTGGTTAATTGACTTATGACAGCTTGAGGATGGATGCCAGCTGAGTACAGTCGATGAGATTGCTGATGCAGTTAATTGCTTGTTGGGAAGAATTGAAGAAGAAGCTCTTTAACGTACCTAACCCAATTATAACCCTATTGTTTTTATAATAATCAAGGGTTCCCAATCATAATCTCTACCTCTCTCTCTCTCTCTCTCTGTCTTATTCTCGAGGTTATATTAGTAATCATGTTTCCTTTATTTTAGTTAAGCAGAGAGAGTTGGTGTTCATTGAAATCTGTACACTCTTTCAATTAATTAAAATTAATGCAATAATTCTCAAGTTATTAACTTGACTTAATCTAACCACGTAACGTTATATGCATGTATTTTAATGTTTATTTTACCAGGTGTTCGAACATTAATGAATTATTTTATTTACAAAATAGAATATAATTTACAAGGGTTTAATAGATCCTGTATACAATTCATTTACCAACTTCCATTGACCATCAACTTCCATTTTTTTTTCAAGCGAATACTTTTGCTAAATGATAGGAAAAGGAGACCATTTTAAATCTGGGGAATTACATGTTTTTTGTTTTCTGTCTTTAAGTTTCAGAATTTTTGGCACCATGTAGTCAAACCCTTTTATGTGGAGGAACACCAAATCAGGATTATTACAGTGGCTGCACGTTATTTTGGGCAAAAGATGACAAGTTTGCAGGCAGAAAACATATATCTAACAAAACCTATTTTATAATAGCATATAATATTTTAGAAAAAACCTATTTTGATTTCATTTATATTTTATAGAAATTTATAAAGACTAATTTAATAGTTTATTATTTACAAATTGTGTATTTTAGTATCTATTGTTGACAAAATGTGTATAAACTTGGATGTTTCTTAGAAAGTGTTATTCTAAATAGACGTTTTCATTTTTAAGCTACAAACATTTAAATGTGTGTTTAGAAAATAGGTTTCGTAAAATAGGAACTGATTGAAAAACATACTTTCTTTTATATATATATATATTTGAAACTATGTTTTGTAAAATAAGAATTGAATAAAAATATAATTTGTCAAAAAAAATTATCAACAAAAAGATGTAACAATGCTTCAACTTAATCTGACTCGTTGTTTGAGTAGGGCTCCACTGTAAACATGCCAAATAATATTCCAATTGCTAATCTGACAAACAATACGAAGAAAATTAAAATCAACTATTTCGTTTTCGCAAAAAGAAAAAGAGAAAGCAAGGGTTAAAGCCATCGGTTTTGATTTAATATGACAAAATAAAATTTAAAAATATGTTATTCAAAATAGGATAATACAACTATAGACCTTAGATGAATATGTTATTCAAAATAGAATAATACGACTCTAGACCTTAGACGAATATGTTATTCAAAATAGAATAATACGACTCTAGACTTTTCATCTAAGTGTTGGTTCTAACCGAATCTATAAGAGTTATTATAGGTAACTGTTGGAATCCAGATACTCTTAATTCTCAGAAAAACACAGTTTGATAAAGAATAAGATTGAAGTACGAACATTGAACTGAGTTTGATCAAACGACCATTCAAAATAAATAAGAACATTAAAAGACTTGAATATGTCAGATGCTTTTATTAGATGAAAATAAGAACTTTCAATCTAATCGTATTCTCACAAGAAATATGCCATAATATAAGTCGGCACTCTCAGGTATTTTGAACCTGAGGAGGAAGCCTCCTTATATACGCCTAACTCAACAACTATGCTATAATTATGGCTTGAAACTCTGAGTTGCCGATTCGGCATCCTTATCTTTGACTTCCCTTGAAAAGTGGAGTGGACCAAGTCAAGCCGCCTTGATTCTGTTTGACGCTTGCGAGAATGTCTGGACTACACGCGCGTTCCATGGAGTTAGGAGACCAGAAGCTCTGCATGTACTATACAAAAGCTCTGCATGTACTATGCAGAGGTTCTGCATATGCAGAGGCTCTGCATGTTCTATGCAGAGGCTCTGTGTCTGGAATTGTAGCTTTGCATCAAGCGCTTAAGCTTTTTGGCGCATAAGGCTTGATCGTCCACAGAGATTGAGCGCGGGCTCTGTATGTAGGAACCTTCACTCTTTGAGTAAGAGCTCTGGYTCTTGACCTCTTCTGCATGAGAGCTCTTAGTCCAGACTATTTCTATAGACTAAGTCCTATTGACTAGAGTAAGAGACTTCTTACTTACACTTTCACAAGATGGGGTCTAACAATCTCCCCCTAAGTGTAAATAAGACAGGCTCTTACTAGAATTGAAAAACACAAGTTTAGTCGAAGCCAGAGGTTAAAGGAGACCTATGTTTTACATTATCTATCTAGAAAGTACAATACGATGAAAGGAAATTACATTGATTGAAAAAATAGAAAAATGCTTACAAAATAAGGCCTAGATGTGTTGAAGTTTGATGAACCTCCTAAGAAGTTCTCGAAACTCCAGCAAGTTATGGATTTACCTTAGAATAATCTTTGCTCTTTCCTTTGCTTCGGGGGAGTTATCTATGCTCCTGAGTAAATGATCTCTGATGTAGCGCATAGTAGAGTTTGAGTACTTGAAGCGCTGGTCTTCACGAAAAAATATTTTCTTTCCTTGTTCGTTTCGGAAGATCACCCTTACTTCTGGTTCCACCAGCACGGTCCACGAGGGAATGTTGTTGAGGCCTTGCAGATCTTCATTTGGTGCTATGACGCTCAGTTGATCTATTCCCAGGTCCAGAACTAGTTGGAAGTCAAACTTGTATCTGAAGTCCAGAAGGCCCGTCATTGTTTGTCTTATTGCAGAATCGGCCACAACATATTTGATCCCCTTCTCCTTCTTATGATCCGTGAAGTAATATAGAGTAAGAAGGTCCCATGGATTCAAATTTATTAGATCACAATATGTGAAAGCGTTAATTTGTCCACGAGACCTCTCCACCATATACTCAAGAAAGATGATTTGATTGTGCGCAAAAGTTATTTTCTTGATGTCGAGGACTTGCTTAATGCCATCGACAGAATGGACTGCAGAGATAGGTTGTGTGTATCGATGTAAGAACCTCTTTCTGATGTTCTCTTAGGCCGTTGGATGGAGGTTGATCTTGATGACCGGTGTCTCATCTCGCAGGCTGTAGAGAAACTGGTAGATTTCTTTACTATCAGCCTTGTCTTTGATTGGCTGTCATGGGGTGTGGGCTTCATCATTGCACCCATACTATTCTTGATCTTTTGAACTTGATCAAAGGGATGTTTGGAGCTCCGAGGCCTGCTGCTTGTGCCTTCTTCTAGTCTGTTTGGTTTGACAGGAACCCTCTGCCTCATAGCCGGAGTGACTACTCTGGTCCCTTGAGCAGGGACCCTAGCTTTGTGTGTGTTCCTTTGTGGTGATGGTGCAGCTATTGTAACACCTTTAAGTGGAACAGCAACAGGAATGGCCGTCAGAGCTGGATCGGCTACATTCACTGCCACCACTTCTTCTTCTTGCCCTCTTGTTGATGAAGCAGCAGTCTCCATGGCATATTCTGTTGAAGAGGATAGAGGCTCTTCTGATTCAGATGAGGAGATGTAGACGGCTAAGAGTTGGATCACGTCTTCATCCTTTTGTTGGCCTTTTGGCTCCACATGGGATGCCATAGGCATCTTTTCTTTTCTTAGCGCTTTCGCATGCACTGGCTCATGTCGTGCTCTCCCTCTCTTGACGACTTTGAGGGCCAGACAGGTCTGCATCCTCATCGTCGTCAAGCTTCTTTCTCTTTGAGGCCTCAACACATGGAGTTGGCTCCATTCTCCTCTTTTGGGCTTTGCTCTTATGCTTGGGGCAGGGACTTGATCTTATCCTCAAAGCATTTGAGAATCTCCTTAGCTGCATCTGACTTTTGAGGATCTCCATGTCTGTGCGATAGTTAAAGGTCGCCAAGGAACGTCGAATCTCTCCTGCTGCCTCCTTGGCCTTGCTATTGAAGTCAGCGGTGAAGTTGGCCACTTTTTGAAGAAGATGGTAACCTAGCACATTCATGGTAGACTGAGTGACGTCGATAGGGACATTCAGAGGAATGATCACCTGAGATGAAGTAGAAGATTCATCCCTCTGAATGTATGCGAGGACCCTTTGCAAGGCCTCTGTATTTTGAGCCGTCAATTCTTGGAGTTTGTCGAGTCGAGAGGCATTCGTCATTGACTCAGCCCTCAATATTGCTAAGGATGCTCGAATTTTATCCAGAGCAGATGCAGAAGGAGATGGCTCTTCATGGGCCATGTTGAGTTTTAGCTCATCCAAGGAGCACAACATAGAGGTGGCAAAGGACTGGAACTCGTCCCTTATAACATATGTTGTTGGGGTAACCTCTGGCTCAACACATGGGCCAGATTGAGTCCTCATTCCAAGGACACCTTCTGTCTCGACTTGATTGACATTGGTCAAGGAAGGATTTCCAACAGATCATTGTGGCTCTCGTTAAAGAGAGGTCACTACTGTTGTTTTATCGTGAAGGGGTTCCAAGGCAGGTTTAGAGCCAGCCATTGGACCCTCCACGAGTGGACTAGGAGTTTGGCCGAGAATCTCCAAGTCTGGTACACCTAAACCTTGCTCTGAACAAAGTGGGGAAACGACTAGTGCAGAGGAAACAAATTCCTCTGGTTGGAAGAGTGGCGTGATATGGGGAGACATATCACTTATCATTTCAAAGGTTTCACCCTTTTGAGAGGATGATCCATGATACGTGGCTTCCCTTTGGCTTATATGACAAGAGGCAGATGCGACCTCTAGTTCGTTTGGCAGGTTAGAGTTCGAGGTGTACACCTCTGTTTCAATGATTTTCGTGTCTCGACCACTGGAGTCAGATAATGTGTTAGCACTAGGAGTTGGGCTAGAGAAATACACATGCCTATTCGCCATCCTAGGCTGCTCTGGCTCACCATGAGGCAGAGCAGCTTCTACACCTCTTCCCTCCTCATCTTCTTCATCCTCTTCAGATTCAACCGTGACGCCCACATCTTGATCAAGGGCGTCATCCCTTCACTTTCTTCATATGACCCAGAAACATCATCATGATGCTCTTGGTCATCGTGCTCTTCAGAGCTCGAGAAGAGCCCCAAGTCTCGGTGAGCCTTCTCTGCTCTGGTTCTCTTTTCTTCCTTTAGTCGAGCAATCTCTTCTTGTCTTGCTCTTTCTGCTCTCTCCTCTTCCTCTTTCAGACGGGCAAGTTCTTCTTCTTTTGCCCTCTCTTCTCTTTCCTCCTCTTCCTTCCTCATCCTCTATTTTTCCACTATCTTCTTTATCGCCTCTACCCTCTTTCTATTTTTCTCTCTCTCTCCTTCTCCAATCTCAC